CCTTGCATCTGCTCAGGACTGGATAGCAGTTGTGCAGGACACTGCCTATTGTGCCAATGCCAGGATTTTTCAGTGCTTATTTAACCATAGGAACTGGATAGCGTTCTCTACAGAATGAGTTGTGTACCTGAGATTTGGATCCATGTCTTTCCTATCTTCTGCAGGCAATGAGGCAAGGGGTCAGTGGCTGGATTAAGAAAATTGTCAGTGCTTCTTTGAAGGAGGGAATAATGTAGAGGAAATTGTGTGTTTTCTCTTGAGGATGGATCCAATCATTTTCAATACGTTCTATCTCCAACCTTGCCTTTGGGAAGAAGACTTCTGAGAAAAAGTTTGAGACTCGGCTTCAGAAAGTCCCAGAAGAAATAAATTATCTGGATTGCTGCCAGATCCAGACCCATCATGAAATTGAAATAGCACAAGTTCTGGATATTCTTCATTGGGCTCTCCATAGGGAGAATGTGCCCTTCTAGTTCTTTAAAAACTTTAAGCAGCATATAGAATAGAATACATGATTGGTCAAGTGTGATTAGACACACAAGGAATTTGTCTATGGAGCATAAGCTCTCAGTGTACATACAAAACAACAAAGTAATAATAATCAAAATATCGAAGTAATAATCATAATAATGAACCAATAAGAGAAGGTAATGGAACAGATGAGAAGGATAAATGTAATAAAGCCATACTAGATGGTAAATATACTTAAACATAAAACAGTATTGTGGGAATTATTTTGAAGACAGAATTCAGAATCAGAATAGAGCTGGAAAGATCCTTGGAGATCTTCTACTACAGCTCCCTGCTCAAGCAGGAGACCCTATACCATTTCAGACAAGTGACTGTCCAGTCTCTTGTTAAAAACTTCCAGTGATGAAGCACCCACAATGTATGAAAGCAAGGTGTTCCACTAGTTAATTGTCCTTGCTGTTAGGAAGTTTCTCTTTAATTCCTGGTTGCTTCTCTCCTTGATTAGTTTCCATCCATTATTTCTTGTCCTGCCCTCTGGTGCTTTGGAAAATAAATTGACCCCCCTTCCCTTTGTGGCAGCATCTCAAATACTGGAATACAGCTATCATGTCCCCCCTAATTCTTCTTTTCTCTAGATTAGCCAAACCCAAATCGTGCAACCGTTCTTCATATGTTTTAGTCTCTAGGCCTTTAATTGTCTTAGTTGCTCTTTGTACTTTTTCCGAAGTTTCAACATTTATTTTGTAACATGATCAAAACTGGATGCAGTATTCCAGGTATGGCCTTACTAAGGCTTTATAAAGTGATACTAATACTTCTTGTGATTTTGATTCTATGCCTCTGTTTATACAACAAAGGATTATATTAGCATTTTTGACTGCTCTACCCACTACTGACTCATGTTTAAGTGTTCATCCACTAGGACTCCAAGGTCCCTCTCATAGTTATTGTTTTTAAGCCAGGTTTTGCCTAATCTATACTTGTACCTTTGATTTTTCCTGCCCAGGTGTAAAACCTTGCTTTTCCCCACATTAAATTTCATTTTGTTAGATAGGGCCCATAGGGCCCATAGTTCAAGTCTGTCAAGATCTTTTTGGATCCTGAGCTTGTCTTCTGGGGTGTTGGCTATTCCTGCCAGCTTAGTGTCATCTGCAGTTTAGATGAGTTCCCCTTCTATTCCCTCATCTAAGTCATTTATGAAGATATTGAAGAGTACTGTCAGAATCCAATTATATTTCATTTCTAACTACTTACTCTGATAAAAAAACAATTCTTACTGTATTTTGGATTCTGTCATACTACGAAAGGGGAGGAGGGTAAGCATGGGGGTTTTATGACTCTCACTTCCTTCCTTAACTACAAAGTGACTGGATTCTCTTTGAGAGAACTACCCATAACAGTGTAGCCATCGCCTTTCATCTCATGCTCTCTGAAGTTCTCCCCTTTGCCGGCAGTGAGGAAAAAGGGGTGGGAAATGCAACGCCTGGGATCTGGGAAAAGAGAGGATGAGTGATCGTGCCGACGGAGCAGACTGACGGATTGAATCACCTGGAAGAACTGTGGGGTGGGGGCTGCTTGGGAACACTTTAAAACATTGAATGGTGGGAGAGGATTCCCCAGATCCTGTTTAGCACGACTGCAATCAATTTCTCTTAATAAAGATCCCTGTTGGAAGAGACATTCCAAGAGTTCTGTCTTCTTAAGATGTAAATTGAGGTGGGTCCTTACAAGTACTGGGCATAAGACGGAGCCCTGTGGTACCGCATTGCTTATTTCCCTCCATGTAGATGTAGTACCATTAAGGATTACTCGTTCAGTACAGTTTGTCAGCCATTTACAAATCCATCTGGTGGTGATACTGTCTATCCTACATTTTTCTAGCTTACCGAGAAGTAGGTTATGGTCTACTTTGTCAAATGCCTTACTGAAGTCTAAGTACACTATGTCCACAACATTTAGCTGGTCCACTAATTTAATCACTTTGTCAAAGAATGAAATAAGATTGGTTTAGCATGGTCTGTTTTTAACAAACCTGAGCTGGCTTCTGGTTATAACTTTATTTGTTTCTAAATGTTCACAGATCTGTTTTTTGTGTATTTTTTTTTCCAATATCTTCCCAGGTACTGATGTTAGGCTGATTGGTCTGTAGTTTCCTGGCTCTGTTTTTTTTTTCCTTTTTTGACTGTAGGTCACTGTAGATCAGTGGTTCTTAACCTTTTTAATGCCGCGACCCCCAACCGGTCGTAAGTCGAGGACTACTCAACTGGTCGTAAGTCGAGGACTACTCAATTGGTGCAGCACGGTTTGCAGAATGGGACTTTTGGCGGTCTCAGCAGGGCAGAGACATCCTGGACAATTCCTGTTGGCTTTTGAAAGCCAATAGAATTAGACTCTATTCAAGAGAGTCTATTCTATTGGCTTTCAAAAGCCAATAGAATAAAAGGGAGTAGCACAGCTAAGGAAAAGGGGGAAAAAAATGGTGAACTGCGTTGTTTGGCGACCCCCGTGAAATGGTCGTTCGACCCCAAATGGGGTCCCGACCCACAGGTTGAGAACCACTGCTGTAGATCTTTGACGGAAAGAGGGTTGGAGCTATGTTTCAGAGGCTCCTTAGACTACATGGGCTCACATATTGTGCTAAGTCTAAATTATTTACACTCCTTATCCTCTCCTGAGAATTGTCTTCTGATTGTTTAGACAAACTTTATTGAATAAAGAACAGTTGATTAGCTTTGCCGAACAATCTAAGCCAAGGGTATCAAACTGCCGGCCCACGGGCTGGTTGCATCATGCGGAGGCCGAGCCCACCCCAGCTCTAGCAATGCAAAAAAAGTTGCAATACATCGCAACATGTCACATGACGCGGCGACTTTGACACCTGTGATCTAAGCTATAAAGAGGAGTTTATGAACTATGTCTGCATTCAGAACACATAACATTAAAAACCAAGTGTATTATATTTTAACTGAAGCAATGTTTACACAACCCATGTTGTAGTGCACACATTATGCTTTGCTTGGTTTGTGGCATATTGTATGAACATGGCCACGGTGCTTTGTAAATATGATTAATGGCTTACTGTGAACCCATGTGACCATGGCTTATTTCATAAAATATAGTTAAGTGCACAATAGCTTACTGCAATTATATACAATATACATAAAATCATGAATTATGATTCTTTTAAATTTTGATTTTCACATACTAAAAAGTACAACCCATTTCAGTAAAGCCTCTCTATTGTACAGTATTTTATTATCAAACTTCATGGAAGACAAGTAAGATGGCATTATACACACACATGGATACACAAATTTCCTCCTAGACTGGCTAGTATGTCATATGAATATAATTTAACCCTATGGTATCAATTAGGTCCTAAATATAACATGTTTAGTTTTTGGATGCTTCTCCAGTGATTATAGTTTGCATCCACACTTTATGTCTGTATGTAATGGGTGAATTTAATCAGTTGTAGCTTATTTAACTAAGCTTAATTAAACTTAGCATAGTTAACACAATGCACAAGTTCGGTCAGTGACTTGATTTTTTTTCCAAACGGGACATTACTCAAAACACTGAGCCAAACCCAACAACTTACAAGATGTCTTAGGTCAGAAGTCCCTAACCTTTTGGGACCAGTTATGTTGAGAGAGGTTTTTCTGTGGACCAGAGGGGGTGTGGTTTTTGTGTGCTGCCTGCATTTGTGTGCTGGGCTTTCCTTGTTTGTGGGGACCGGTTGCTGGCATGCTGCGGACCAATACTGGTCCACGGACCGGGGGTTGGGGATCCCTGTCTTAGGTAATACGTGCCACTGTCATGGTACTTTGAATGCTGGACTGAGATAAGGGTCTGAAATGCAGAGTTCATTGGGTGAGTTGTATCTTTTTCTTGCCTCAACCTACCACACAAAGTTGTTGTAAGGATAAAATGAGGGTTGACGGTACATATCCTGCTATAAAATGAATTCCTTAGTCAGATCTAATAAAAAAAAAAGGTATCACTGCATGGACTAGTTTGGGTTCACACACACTCAGCCAAATTGTAATTTGCTTGTTTGTGGTTGAACACCTTGTATAAATCTCAGTAAACATGATATGTGATTTAGCAAGCCGTGTGAACCCTGCAGAATCGATTTCCATGTCGTGTGGAGTCGGATCCTTTCTACGTGAAAGGGAAGATACCTGTCTGCTAGGAAAGGTGACACGTGGCATCGGCAGGCAGGGAGGCGGTGCTGAATTTAATTGCCAAGTTCGGCGGCGGCGGCAGAGGGCGTACTTCCTCAGGACCGTCTCCGTTAACATGCTGGCTGCGTTCGATGGCAAGCCCGGGTCCCGTGGGGCAAGGGTTGCTCAGTGACCTGGGAGATCAGAGGGAAAGGAAACGTGTTACCTTGACTGCGTGATTTATGACTGTCGCAGTCTGCGCGGGGTGGGGATGGGCGGGAGGCGGAGTAAATCCTGAGGAAAAGGAGAGCCGGGCGAACCAAAAGGGAAAATAAGCAGCCTCGAAATTGAACGTAATTTGTGCACCGTGGAGCAGGGCTTCCCTTTCGCTTTCTGTGGCAGCACACTCGCGGGGGAGGGGGCAACTCATTCGCCCCACCCAGGTTTTGGCTTCTCTGTTTCCCTCTCCCAGTCTACGGGGCGGGGGAGGAACCGGGGCTGTGAAGCAGCGGTCGATTGGCCGAAGCGGAGGGGGGGCGCTGGTCCGTCGGGGGGGGGGAAGGAGGGATGGCCATCGGACCGAAGTCCCGCCTGGATAGGCTCAGCGTCGTGGGCGTACTTGTGCCCCCGGCCGAAAGAGAGGCACCAGGCAGCCGGAGGGAGGTGAGTACCCCGCGCGGGTGAAGGCGCGGCAGGACGAGCTATAAGCTGGCTTCCTTGAAGCCCCCCTCCCAAAACATGCATGGGAGGGAATCGTTTTGAGCAAAGGGCGGCAAAGCTTGGCATGTCAAGTCGACCCGATCGCCAGCTGGCTTACTGCTTGGCGAAGGGCGGGAGGAACGTCGGTTTTGCGAGGAAAGAAGCTGTGTGAGGTAGGCATAAGACTGCAATGCTTCGGGAGGTCGCAATCCTGAACGGCAGAGGCGCTCGGAGTTCCTCGTTTTGGGGACTAAGCCTGGCGCGCTCGCACCTTCCATCGCCATAATTTTTGCGGGGAAGGAACTGAAAGCAGTCGCCCTCTCGGCGGCCCTCCGGCTCAAAGCGGAGAAGGTCCTTTGGCCGTGACACACGGATGTAACACGTAGTGTGGGGACGTTGCATCAGAAGAACCCCGGACAGGGGGTTCTGTGAGCCTGTGTTTGTGAGCCTTTACAAATCAGAGTGGAAAAATGGGAAAGGCCCCCCCCCCAAGGTATTCTTGGGAAATGTCACATTAAAGATGTGACCACACCAAGTGCAGAGAATGTGGGGAAAGAAATTGCAGTTTAGTACTTAATTGAGGGCATCAAAAGTGTTTAACTCAGGGCACAATTTCACAAAGATAAATGAACTATATAGTCTACAGGTAGGGAAAAGGAATATATTATCTATCTATCTATCTATCTATCTATCTATCTATCTATCTCTCTATCTTCAGCAAGGGACAGATTAAAGTGAATGGTTCTGCTTCACCACTGGAAAAGCTCATTTGGTCCTGTATTGGATTGTTATTATCATAATGTAAAAGAGTCCCTGCAGCCTGAATGTGTTGAGGCAGCTCCTAGATAAAGCACACCTGCTGCATTTGATGTTAAAAATTTATATCCTACAATTGGAATTTGACATTTGAAACCACCCAAGATGGCTTATGTAAAAAAAGAACACATTTATGAAATACAACCACAATATTAAAATTCAAATTGCCAGATCCAGCAAACTATGACTAAAGACCCTTCAAGAGAGGAGGGGGAGAGAGTTCCGTGTCAATGGGCTACTGTTTGAAAAGGTCCAATGTTGAAAAGAGGCACACCTGTCAGAACCGTATAGGTTAGTGGCAGTGACTGTGGCTGAGCAGAAGGTGGTCATTTCCTATATAGGTATTTCCCGGAAGGAGGCAAGAGATAGAAACAGGCCTACCCAGCTGCCCCTGTCCCTTCAGTCCAAAGTTTCTTTAGACTGAAAGTAGCTGTATAAAAGTCTCCGATTCTAGATTGTGCGGCTGGGTAAGTCAGTTTTAATCCAACCTGACAACCTCTCTTACAGCTGTTTCTCTAGGGGCAGTGGCTTTGTATGGGGATCGTCTCTTCAGGAATCTGTGAAGTTTACAGATCACTCTGCACACATAGTAAGCTGTGGTTTAAGTTGGTATAACATAATTAGTCATGAAGTAACAAAAATGTTTTGCATGTTGTGATGTATGAATCCAGAAAGTGCAGAGTGCTAGCATATCCAGATGGACACTAAAGAAATCAGGCTGGCTAATGGCTATTTATCTATCTGACTTCTTATATCATCCTTCGTCATACCTTAACTGCAAGATGGCCTTTTCAAGGCTAAGTCTGTTATTTCAATTTGAAGCATCCATTTTTCTAATGTGTTCACACAACACACAGAATTTATCAGACCACAATTTAACCTAGTATATTGTGTGAATGCATCTTGTGTGGTTAACAATGATTTATATACGTACAGTATACACTTGTATATAACTCAGATAATTAAATGCTGTGAAAATCCTGTGGCTGTCCATTGAAATCCTTTCCATATGTGATGGAAAACTAATCTCTGATAGGCAATGTTATATCATTTTTAATAATGCCATTTTTTTCTTTGTTGCCAATATATTTATTATAGACTCAAGTCATCAGTAGTCTGTTGAAACAGATTGCAATATGTAAAGTACATTTCTCTTTCAAATGCAGCAGTTCCATTTGAATGGGTTAAAGGAAACAAAATAAACCTCCACCTAAAACAATAAGAGTTAAGTTTATATGCTTAATCATCTCGCAGGGCATAATGTTTTTCTGATTTATACTGTGCTGTGCTTTGGTAAAGGATGATGATGATGCATAGGAATTTATTGTATGCCTCAATAAATTGAACTGTTATTTTTCATTAATCTGTAAATCCTTTGAATACCCATTAAGAGTATTTTGTAACAACTGGCCAAATCTTATTGTATAAGATTAAAGATTGGGCTAAAATAATTGGCATTTCTGCTGCGAGACTGATTAGCTTCTGGATGCACATTCTGGTCTAAAACTACAAGGTTTCATATATGAAGATTGAATGAAAAGTAATGCCTCCAATGGACGGTGACTGGGCCTGTGTCTTTAGACCCACATTCCTGATTGTCCAGGAGCCCTCTTGAGCCCTGCTTAATAGCTTGTGATCTCACAGTCTTAACTCCTTTTGCCATTCAGCTCAGATTTGATGTTATGCAATGTTCATCTATTCCCCAAATTGAAGGAATCCTTTGTGGGCATCTGTTTAGGTTTAGAAATATTTAAAAGGATTTCTGAACAAAGAATGGGAACAGGTTGTCTTGTGAGCATTACCCTTGTGAGTAACGTATAAGTAGCTTGATGTCAGTTCAAGTGAAAGGCAGACTTTAGAATAAATTTCCTAGGAAAATCATGACTCTTTCTGTTGAATTTTGAAGTAAAGGGGAGGCAAACCATCATTAAGTGGTCAACTGCAAACCATTACACAGCTTGGGTTTTGAGTGGGGCTGTTGTTTTAACCCTGGGAGCTGAGGTTGAATGCTACAAGTTTATTTTTTTAATCTTTGTACACTTATGGGTGGCCAAACAAATCATATACATAAATAGATAAAATGAATTACAGGGTTTAAAAAATGAATAGACATATAGAGTTAGCTGTATATTCATTTGCAGCAAATAGTTACTTGGTACATGAACTTACTCTGAAGTAAAGTAAAGATAATGTCAGCAGTCCAGCTTGACTGCTAATGACTTAATGCAAATTTGATGTGTCCACGCTGTAATCGCAACATGAATAGCATGGCAGTCCAGGGTGGATAATAATCAAATGTTTCTTTAAATTTTTTTTTTTAAAAAATCAGATTGTTTTTATTTAAATCAGATTTTTTTTTATTTTTATCAAATTTATTTTAATAAAATGCTTTTAGAGTAAAAATCTATCTAAAGACAGTTTTCTATTTAAGATATATTAATAATGTAATTTATTCAGCATGAAATGGAGCTTAGTTATTTAGCATGAGGCTGTATGTTCTGCAATATTTACATTTTTGGTAAACTCATTCAATGAATCCAAGCTCTGCAAGCTGAGATAACAGGCACTGCATTGATGCATTCACACAATAATATTAAAGATTCTAACTACAAGCAAGAATGAGTCCTTATATTTAAAGAGCACCTGTCATTTCAGATCCATCATGGCAGCGCCTGTTAGCAGGCATCCACTCACCTGCTGCCCGCCACGTCCCTCACCTTGCTGTGTCACTGCCGCATCACCAGCCATCCCATTAAAGTGAGTCTGTTGGTGAGTCAACAGCAGGTCAGAGGATGAGCCACTGTGTTACAGAGATGACAGTTGCTCTTTAAAAATTATGACTTAAATCGAGTTGATTTAAATCAAGCCTTTTTACTTTTAAATTCAACTTGATTTAAATCAGATCTACCCTGTGGCAGTCAATAGGTCTGTGGTGGACAAAAACATTTTGGAAATTAGACTGTGATAGTATTGGTGGGCAAAAAAGGAACACCAACTGAAAAGTTTCCTCCACTAATTATCTGTCTTTTATTAGTAGTAATCAATTTTTAGTAGGGGCCTTTCTTTTCTTTTTCCATGTTCTTAGTCCTACACAGAACTGGATTCTACTTTGCAAGATGGCTGTGCCCATTTTTGCTTGTCTTTGGTTTGCATAGAGGTTGTTATGTGTTGTTAATTCTCCTAATCATCTCCCTTCAGAATTCATTTGATGTTCTTATAATTTTTATGCTGTACATATTGTTTGCTGTCCCCATTTCTTTTTCTCAATTTCTCTCTTCTTCTGAGAGAATTCAATTAATCATATGTTTGCCAACCCAATACTCCCACATTCTTCTTCAATACTTCCATCCCCTACCCCACCCCCCACCCCAGGATCCACTTTTGACCAGCTTCCATTTCCCAATATGACAATCAGATTTAGGGAGAGCTTTTCATCATACAACTATTTATTTTCTCTGTCTTGTTTTGTCATTATGATTTTCAGTCCTGATTTTTCGACTTCTCTCTGTTTAAAGAATTGGTCCCTTTTTTGTCTCTGCCCTTAGTTCTGAGGCCTTTTGCTGGAAGAGGGTCTAGCAACTCTGTTCTCTACTCTGAACAGACCCTTTTGTCTACTTGCAGGTGCTACTGAAACTCAATGGAGGACTTCACTCGCCTGGGTTACTGCACTGTGGCTGGCAGCTTCGTAGTCTTCCAGTTCTCCTTTTCTGCCCTCAGCCCCCAGCTGTCCTTGTCCTTGAGCCCCAGCTACTCCAGCCTTCCTTCGGTCAAGCAGAGTGAATGGAATTCCAGGTAGAGAGAGGCTCTGGTGGATGTGGCTGGACGAATGGTTGCGAGATTTGCAGTTCTCTCGCCTTTCCACTGTAAGAATCTCTATAGAACTTGAGAGGTTATGTTCCACTCCTAGTGTGCTTTGCACAGAATAATTGTGTGCATATTGCAAGAGAGAGATCGTTGGCTAGGGCTGCAATTATGAAATAACCCTTATGTGTTCTCCTCTTTAGATGTGTGTCTACTCTTCATGCGGTGATAGTCGGCCTCTTTTGCCTCTACATCCTTTGGTATGATGATGCTATAAATGCCAACCCCATCTGGTAAGAAATTACAGGCAACCGACTTGCATGCATGTCTCCTAGGCACACATGTATAGATTTGGCAGCCTGCTCTCCCTGGCAAGAGAGAGAAAGAGAGGAAGAGGAGGAGGTGTCTATGAGCCTGATTGTTTTCATTGTGTTGAGAAGCACAAGGACTGTTTTATGCTGAGAAAGAATAAGCCTTTGTTATACTTTGATTTTAGGATGTGAGGGATGGAAACAGGGTCACTCTAGGCAAGAGGATTTGAACTGGCCCTGGCATTGAGCCTAAAAAGGTGCAAACACTCCTCCCCAAGCCATAATCACTCCTTTAATCCCATTCCACACATGCCCCATAGATCTATGCCTCCTTTTTCAATGAATGGGCTGAGATTCTAAAGCTAAGAAGGCACTGATACCATTACTGTGTCTGTCTATAGCACATTTTATCTTTCTGCTCTTTCTCCCCAATTCCTGTTTAATCCCACTTCTCCAGTTTCCTTGTTTGGCCTTGCACGTGGCATGACTGAAAGTCAGGGCACTCTAGATTCTGAACTGCTCATTCAAGATTTGGCTGCAGAAGACTCATGGATAAAACTTGACTAGATAAGCTATTTGTCAGAATCCAATTATATTTCATCTTTAATTATCAAATATAGAAACTCCCAATTCTGCCTTCTCTGGATTCTGCCATAAGGGGGAGAACAAAGGGGCTTTATGGCCCTCACTTCCTTCAGTAGACTTCTAGGGAGCTGAATGTGTTTATTGCAACTTCAAAGAGAGACTTTGAATGTAAATAGCATCAAAGAACTTTACCATCACAAAAGAGAGCTAATTACCTTTCATGTAGTTATCTGAAGTCTCCATACAGACGAAAGAAAGGAGCAAGGGGGTGGAATTGTGATGCCTGAAACTATCACTGGAAGGGGGAGTGATTGGGTGGGACTGCTGGGGAACCCCTTAAAACCTTGAATGGGAGAGCTTGGACCCCAAGTCCTGTCTAGCATGCCTGCAACCACTTCTTCTTAATAAAGGATTCCTGTTGGAAGAATTATTCCAAGAGTTCTGTCTTCTTAAGATGCAAAGTGGGGTGGGTCCTTACATTAGACAGGACTTGCAAAATTAATCCACCTGGAAGGGAGACCCTTGCCGGGGGATTTTGCAAAAATTTACCATGTCAGACAATGGAGCAAGAGAGGGGGAAAACTCCCTGGAAAGAGAGCCGCTGACCCAGTTGGAACCTTGCCAGATGTTGGGATCCGAGAGGTCAGATTCCTCGGGAGAAGAAGTGGTGGAGACACGGGACCACAAGCCTCGCTGGTCAATGGGCGTTGGAAAGAAAAGTGAGTGGGGAAAGGAATCAAGAAAGGTGACCCTGAGACGGGGGACCAAGCAACCAGAATGGAAGCAGGAGATGGAGAAATCCCTGCACGCAAGTGAAGAGGGAGGAAGCTGGGCACCGTACTCAGACTGGATCCTAGAGAAAGCTATTGACCTGATGAAGAGAACTCTCAGCTTCCTAGGAGAGGAGAATACTGAGCCCTACGGCCGCCCCAGCTCCTGGAGCCGCAAAGGGAGAGACACCGAGGGGGACGTGGAACCTGCAACCCCAGGGACATCTACTGATCCAGGAGCCCCCACCCCCTACCGGACCACAGATGGCAATCTGGACGGAAGACACTACCACCCACAACGGAGGCACCGATCCATTCCAAGACGTCCACCGTTGGAGGTGAAATTCAAAGGGGAGCCAACACGCTTGGGGTTTTTCCTAACCCAAGTCCTCAGCTACATGGAGGAATATGGGCAGGACATTCCCAGCGACAAAGCCCGCATCCGGATCGTGCAATCTGCCCTGGATGGACCAGCTGCAGATTGGGTGGTGAACTTGCATGACTCCAATGCCCCAGAACTCAGTAACTTCAACCGTTTCATGTCCTCTTTGAGAAGACGATTTGAAGACCCCCTGGCTGATCGCAAAGCCCGTGAAAGATAAAAACGATGAGGCAAGGCAAACGCCCAGTGGCTGAGTATACACAAGAATTCCGGGCCATTGCCAGCAAACTGAATTGGCCAGAAGACATCCTCCTTGGCCATTTCAAAGACGGACTAAACTATGATCTATATGATGCTTGCCTGCCCCGAGGGGACCACATCGACTTGAGGAATGGTACGTCTTGGCAGAGGAAGCAGAGATCGACATATTGAAGAGGCACCGCCGAGGAAAACAATGGAGCCGCCCCCCGCCTGAGCTGACACACCAACCGGTGAAATCATCGGATACAGCCAAGAAGCAAATGGGGTGTTTCAAGTGCGGAAGAGAAGGGCATCGAGCTGTAGAATGCCGCTCAAAGGCCCCCCAACACAACCCAGACAGATCCCCAATCAACAAACCCGGAAAGTCTTCAGCTAAGCCAAAAGAAACGGCCATGAGAATGATGGAAATTGCAGAACCCCCCACTTCTGCTCACCAAGGGGAAAGAACTCCAGCCTACACCACAGGGCCGGTGGATGCCTCAGATGACAGCTCGGAGGGCGAACCCCTGGTAAGTGGATGCATCACACCCATCTTCAAAACAGTGACTATATTAATCCCCCCCATGCCCGAAGCTGTGAAGGTGAAAGCCTTAATAGACTGTGGCTGCACCCGCTGCCTCATTAGCCCAACACTAGTGGGGAATCTGGGCATCCCATCCAGGAGACTGGAACAACCAATCTCATTTGGCCAGCTAGATGGATCCATAGCAGGGGGGGTGCCAGCTACCCTAGCCACTCTGCCAATACACCTCTCCCTGGGCAACCATGAAGAGGACATAACGTTTGTGGTGACCCCAGGTATGGAATGCCCAATGATTCTAGGGATGGAATGGTTGAAAAAATGGAACCCCTGGGTAAATTGGAGGACGACAGAAATCAAATTCCCGAAGGGGGACCCTATGGACTTAAAACCCCAAGGGAGGCTACCAGAATCAAGAATAGAAAAAGCATCCATAGGAGAGGAAAAAAGATTAACAGAAATACCAGAGGAATATAAGGACCTTGCTGAAGTCTTCAGTGAGGAGAGGGCGAATGAGCTTCCCCCCCACCGACCCACAGACTGTACCATTGAATTCAAGCCTGGGGCAAAACTCCCGAAGCCCAGATTATACTCCATGAGCCCAAAGGAGAAGGAGGAAATGGAAAGATTTATAAAAAAAAACCTGGAGAGAGGTTTCATTGAGCCAGCCAAGCCTAAAGTGGCTGCCCCGGTCCTTTTTAGAGAGAAGAAGGATGGCTCTTTACGTTTATGCGTGGATTATAGGGCCCTGAATACAATCAGTGAAAGCAACCTATACCCGCTGCCCCTCATGAAAGACATGCTGTCACACCTATCGAAAGGGAAAATTTTTTCTAAACTAGACCTAAGGGAAGCTTACTATCGCGTGAGAATTAAGGAAGGGGACGAATGGAAGACTGCATTTAACTGCCCCATGGGGTGCTATCAATTCAAAGTCTTGCCATTTGGATTACAAGGGGGCCCTGCAGTCTTTATGCAATTAATCAATGACGTTCTAAGGGAGCACCTGTTTAAGGGGGTCCTTGTTTACTTGGACGACATTCTTATCTTTACTGAAACAAAAGAAGAACACGTCAAACTTGTCAGAGCGGTTTTAAAGAAGCTGCGAGCCGCTCACCTATATGCCAAACTCTCAAAATGCGAATTCCACCAGGAAAGGATAGACTACCTAGGCTATCGCATATCCCCACAGGGCATTGAAATGGACCCAGAGAAGGTCAAAGCAGTATTAGATTGGGCGCCACCCCGCACAAGAAAGCAACTACAAAGTTTCCTGGGCTTTGCAAACTTTTACCGCCAATTCATCCCCTCATTTGCCCAGATAGCCTTGCCCCTCACTAACTTACTAAAAACGAAGGGAGCATCCTCAGTAAAACCTAGCCAGCCACTAACATGGACAATGGAGTGCCAAGCAGCGTTTGAGAGACTAAAGAGACTTTTTTCTGCCGAACCAGTACTAAGGCACCCAGATATGGACAAGCCCTTCATAATACAGGCAGATGCAAGTGATGTGGCAGTGGGGGCTGTGCTATTACAAGAAAATAATGATGCAGTATTGCAACCCTGTGCATATACATCCAAGAAACTCACGGAAACAGAACAGCGCTGGCCCGTATGGGAGAAGGAGGCTTATGGGATACGTTGGGCATTACTCACGTGGCGACAGTTCCTGGAAGGCAACAAAATCCCCTTCCAGGTGTGGACCGATCACAAAAATTTAGAAGCCCTGAAAACGTCCAGGAAACTCAATCCCAAACAAGCCCGCTGGTCTCAGCATTTTCACCAGTTCCAGTTTAAACTCAAACATTTACCAGGGAGAAAGAACTTCCTGGCAGATGCTCTATCTTGCATGCCTCAATATAACAGCGCACGAACCACAGACTCTAGACCAATAATGGCAGAGTCACAACTGGCAGCACCAGTAACCACAAGAACCCAAGCCAAATTAAAACCACAACTGGACAGCCAAACTGGAATTGAATTCAGAAAAAGTTTGGAAACAGATGAATGGTTCCAGAAAAACAAAAATGTGTGCACAATGAGAGACGGGTTGCCTTGGGTAGGGGAAAAGTTATATATACCAACAACCCAAAGAATCACGTTCATGCAGCTTTGCCATGACACAAAATCAGCAGGGCATTTTGGATTTGTAAAAACTTTACACTTAATTAAACGGCAATTTTGGTGGCCATCAATAAAAAAGGACATAGAAAGTTATGTTGCCAGCTGCCCAACCTGTGCATCGGCAAAGAGGTTGCAAGGGAAGTCGCCAGGGCTATTACAACCAGTGGCAATCCCTCAGCCCCCTGGAGGGAAATAGCCATGGATTTTATAGTGGAATTGCCAGAAAGCAATGGGAATACTGTTATCTGGACAGTCACGGACCTATTTTCCAAACAGGTGCACTTTATCCCTTGCCAAAAAATTCCCACTGCAAAGGCCTTAGCAAAACTTTTCATCCAGCACATTTACAGATTGCACGGGGCACCCCAACGCATCATCTCTGATAGGGGAGTGCAATTTACGTCTGCATTTTGGAAGGAATTTTTATCCCTCTTAGGGACCACTCAGGGACTGACATCTAGCCATCATCCACAAGGGGATGGACAAACGGAACGGTGCCATTCGGTACTTGAGCAATATTTGAGATGTTTTTTAAATTTCCAACAGAGTGATTGGACGGACTTACTTCCTTTTGCAGAAGTTGCCTACAATAATGCAGTCCACTCCAGCACAGGCTACACTCCTTTTCAAATAGCCAACGGGCAAAGTTTCAACCCTATGCCAGAGTTAACCCCAAAAGAACCAACGATCCCTTCACTGAAAGAATGGATGGAAAACCTACAAAACACCTGGCCAATAGTCAGAAAATCACTAGATGAAGCTAGGCGGGCATACAAAGCACAAGCCGATAAAAAAAGGGTTGAGCCTACACCATTCATTATAGGAGAAATGGTGTACTTATCTACAAAATACCTAAAGTCCCTACAGCCCTGTAAAAAACTTGGACCAAAATATATAGGACCTTTTCCAATTAAAAGAATCATAAATCCAGTAACAGTAGAATTAGAATTACCCAAAAATCTCAGGCAAATACACCCAATTTTTCATTGCAGCTTGCTGAAAAGAGAGCATCAGTCACCTCTACGGCCAAAAATCCCCCCCCCCACCTCCAATCATGGTGGAGGGTGAACAACACTTCGAAATAAAGGAAGTCCTTGACTCTAGGAGATATCATGGAGCAACTCAGTACCTAGTTGCCTGGAAACACCTCCCTGCCTCACAAAACGAGTGGGTCCATAAACGTCATGTCAGAGCCCCGAAACTATTGAAGAAGTTTCACACAGAGTATCCCAACAAGCCTAACTAACTTTTATACCTGTTTTGTTTTCTTGCAGGTGGATCTCTCTTATTGTTAAGAGGGGCCGGATGTCAGAATCCAATTATATTTCATCTTTAATTATCAAATATAGAAACTCCCAATTCTGCCTTCTCTGGATTCTGCCATAAGAGGGAGAGAAGGGGGAGAACAAAGGGGCTTTATGGCCCTCACTTCCTTCAGTAGACTTCTAGGGAGCTGAATGTGTTTATTGCAACTTCAAAGAGAGACTTTGAATGTAAATAGCATCAAAGAACTTTACCATCACAAAAGAGAGCTAATTACCTTTCATGTAGTTATCTGAAGTCTCCATACAGACGAAAGAAAGGAGCAAGGGGGTGGAATTGTGATGCCTGAAACTATCACTGGAAGGGGGGGTGATTGGGTGGGACTGCTGGGGAACCCCTTAAAACCTTGAATGGGAGAGCTTGGACCCCAAGTCCTGTCTAGCATGCCTGCAACCACTTCTTCTTAATAAAGGATTCCTGTTGGAAGAATTATTCCAAGAGTTCTGTCTTCTTAAGATGCAAAGTGGGGTGGGTCCTTACACTATTTTAAAATAAAGCCTAATACAGTACACAGGGGTGAAAAGGTATATGCTTGTGCTTCAGAATTTAAGTCCTATCCATCTTCTTTTGCCTTCCCATCTCTTCAAGGTGGCTGCAGTTGAAAGATTGATGTAACAGTTTTCTCAAGCCTGGGAAATAATGGTTCCTGCTGTAGCAATTTCACTCCTGCCACCAATCACATTTTGCTAACAAATGGCCTTAAATTAGAATTTCATAGAAACATATTAATACCTCTGCTTATCATGTCTTGTGAGTCACCATTGCTCATGGACATTTTGAGTTAAAGATTGATTTTCTACCTTGAAAAATGAGGTGGGAATTCTATGGGCATTTCAAATAATAGAACTAACCATACAGGACAGTAGTTCAGAAACATATTATTACTAGACATGAGAACAAAGAAAGAACACAGGTGGTTGGATCCAGGAGAAGGCAGAAATAAATCTAATAACTATATGACGATTTATTACTCCATTGTTTACAATAATTCTATAGGGTAGGACACCATTTAATTTTATCAGGATTTTATGCTATTTTATATTGGGGAAGGGAATGAAACAGAATAATGAAAGCAGTATTGTATCTTTGTGAAAGAAACCTTGCAAGTTTTGTTTTGTATGTCATAAAGTCACACACATGTACAAAATAATCCAGAGCTTCCAATACAATGCTATAACAGTTCTTGTGTCATTCTGACAAATGCAGCAAGCTTTGTATATGTATAGGGGTTGTACATATGAATGTACATGTATATGTGCATGTGTACATATACATATGTATCAGTTTATCTACATATGTGTGTGTACAATACATATATGTATCAGTTTAGCAACACTGAAAAATATAGGCCCAGAAATAAGCTGGTTGACGCTAGAAGAAACTCTGAATGACTAGGGTGGAAATGACCTAAAAAGTCCTTTTTCCATAATGCCACATGAGGTTGCTTGATGGAGGGTGGGGAAGAAATGGGCCTCTAATGCATTAGGAAGGGGGTTCCTCTCTCAATATCAGATCTTTGTCTTTTGACCTTGTTTCCATTCATTCATTTTGTAGGGGAGATCCTAGGTTGGTCAAACTGAACGTAGCTGTCACTTGTGGCTATCTGCTCTATGGTAAGCACCCCATCATTGGGTTTCACAAGGTAGGCTGGAGGGTTTATTTTATTATTTTATTTTATTGATTAAAGGTATATGCTGCCCATTTCACTGCTGGAGTGATTTTCAAGGCAGCTTTCAGATTTGCTATCAAGATTTTCTTTGCCATAATAAACCGGACATATAATGATCATCTTGTCTTTTCCTTGCCTCCCTCTCAGCCAGTCCTACTGGGAATACCTCCTATGTGAGATCCATTGCAATATACAAGCAGTTATTACTTCACTAAGACATTTCCAATAGCTTCTATCCAAAAGAGTTAAATCAAAGCAAGACTGCTGGGAGCTCATGGCTCCCCCCTGTTCTTTTATCATGATGCAGTGAGGTGGAGGGGTCCTTAAAAGGGAGAAAACTTTGTAAGGGGTTGCAGTGACTGAGGCCAGTCGAAGTTATGTTGTCAGCTCACTGGGGGTGTGTGTGTTGTATTTTATTGTTGCACTTTTCCTTTCAAACATTTTGCCCCATACTGCTTTGAACAACTTTTCAGCTTGACACTTGGAAAAAGCCAAGTTTTCAAGTGAAATCCAGATGTCTAAATAAAGATGAACAAATCTACCACTGCCCTATGATGTGCTCAAATGTCACATGCCTATCTTTTCTTTGTCTTCCTTTAAGCCAGTGCCACTGGGAATATCTTGTAATGTGACCCATTATAGGACATTTTCCTGGAAGTGGCTGACTTTAACTATTAAAGAGGAGCAATTGGATTAGACTCAGAAGAACTGCGTTTGCTGCTATCCTGTTCTTCCTTTCCTTTCCTTTCCTTTCCTTTCCTTTCCTTTCCTTTCCTTTCCTTTCCTTTCCTTTCCTTTCCTTTCCTTTCCTATTACTACAAAAATACATAAAGTTTATAGAGCACAAGAAACTAAATACATATAAGCAAATAAACAAAACAATAAATCGGTCATGTAGAAGGTATGACAAAATAAGTAAGTTTTTATTTGATATTTGCAAGAGCGTGTGTGTTAGTGCCAGGTTTTCCAGCTTAGAGAAGAATTTCAAGTCCCGTCCGTATGGCTCCAAAATTTTATATATTATATATATTCTACAATATTTGGTCACATGCCTCTTGTCTTCAAACAGTCCCATTGATAGTATTAAAGCCAACCGTTTATCTCCACACCCTTTTTATGTCATATGAGATACTTTTATGTCATATGAGATACTTCTAGGAAGGTAGAGTGGTTGAAATATTGGCTGAGGCACTTACGCTCTGACAGATCACTTTATCATTAAAACTGGGGCAGTTTTCAACTCAATTCTTGCCTTCCAGACTTAAAGACTCTGCTAGGGCAACAGGCTCTGTGGTATGTAGAGATCTTGCTTCTCTCAACGGCCCTAAAAACGTGGAATTACAACAAGGGAACCACAAATGGAGATGAAGCCAATCAAGTGGCTGATTCGAGTGTGTTGTTGCAACCATGGGGAAGGGAGGGTAGTTTATTATGAGTTTTTATTATGCAGTGGATTTTTAAAATGTTTTTTTAATGTTTGATAATTTGGTAGGTGATTGGCTTACAACATTTTAAAAATCCATCACATTGGAGTCACCTATGAATGAATTGAGCAGCTATATTAATTTGTTAAATAATAAATTAATAAATGTGTGGATTATGTGAATAGGGGGGTAAGGTTAGAATCAAAAGTGACCGAATACCGGTGCAAGTCGTGTTACCTGCAATTGCCTGTCAATTATTAACTATCAGATAGTATTTTAAAAAAAATACTAGAAGAATCTGAGGTGAATTCAGTCCTTTTCCAAAGAAAATCCTATTCCCATAAAAATGGGGCCAGGGCCATGAGAATTTATTTTGCTCCTCAGTGCTGCCTATTTTTAATCTCCAAGAAGGTTGGCACAGATTGCAGGGCTAACTCTTTGAGAGAAGACAATGAGCCTGATCATGGTTTGTGCAAAGGACCTTTTCCCCAGCATTTGCTCTGAGGAATTATTTTACTTTCAGGAGTTCCCCTCAGCCTTTTTTTTTTTTTTTTGCTCATTCACTTTTGGCTAGGATTTCTCTGTTGCCCAGCTGCATTCCGAGGACTCTTTTTTGCTTCTGAGATTGGTTTAGATTGGATCTTCCCAGTGAGGTTTTGATCTCACCTATTCAATTAGCTGAGATCTCCTTCCTCAAACAGAGACTCTCTGTGTAAAAGCAAAATTTTCCCCCTTCCCTCTGGTTTGACAAAATGTTTTGTTTGGGGAAGTTTAATTAGTTAAAATTATTTACTCAGAGGAATCAGTGGATTGCTGAGTTCCTATTAAATCAAGGTCACTTTAAGAAAGGATTGGGAAACATGTAACGTGTTTGCCAAAGAAGGGCATTTTGTATGCAGAATATTAGTTGAGTTGTTCAAGAATAGATGATCTCAATGCTCAGACTGCCGGTGTTTGCCATGCACCTGTGCTGCTAATGGCAGCAAAAAGAGAGAGAAAGAAATTAGGAGTGAAATGTTTTCTACCCACATTTGGAAAAGCCTCAACTACTAAATTCCTGCAGGTAGCACAGGTGAAGCAGGGCCACAGGAGAAAAAGAAAGCACCTTACTCTTGCATTTTCTTTCTTAAATATGAAATCATTTTCTATATGTTTGTTTTCCAGTAAAAACAAGCTACTTGTTTATGAACATATGTTGTGCTCTGAATTCTAGATCTGTTGCTGCTAGTGCGCTACTGGAAGACATTGGGGGATTCTCTTTTCGTTTGCCACCACTTGGTGGCACTATATGCTTATGGATATGTATTGGTTAGTTCCAGAGATCTTTAATTTTTCTGGTGGGTGGGGTGGGGGAGAGAAGACTTTATTCTTCTTCCTTTAAAAAAGGCTGTGCTTCTTCAACATGCTTCAGTGCTTTCTGCATTATCCATCACCTCAGCATCCTCCAATCCAACTTCTATGAGCAAACATTTTCTGGTATTTGCCATCTGCTCCCTCCCAATCACCTGAAGGGTGAGACAGTTAGTTATCTTCTCTATGTTGCTTTAATTGTACAAATCCCGGACCTGAAAAAAGGAGGCCAGATGCAGAGCATTCCTAAGAATGAAGAGACCTAGGTTTGTTATGCAGTAGAAATAAAATGTAAAGAACCGAGGATGGCAAACCCTAACTCTTTGCTGCCATCTAGTGGTCACCTGGCTTTTGTTGTCCTCATTCAGAAGACACATACAATACAGGTAGTCTGCGACTTACGACCACAATTGAGCCCAAAATTTCTGTTGCTCAGGGAGACACTTGTAAGTGAGTTTTGCCCCATTTTACAACTTTTCTTGCCAAAGTAGTTAAGTGAATCACTGCAGTTAGTAACACAATTGTTAAACGAATCTGGTTTCTCCATTGACTTTGCTTGTCAGAAGGTCACAATGATTCCGGGACACTGCAACCATCATAAATATGAGTCAGTTGCCAAGCCTCTGAATTTTTATCATGAGATCATGGGGAATGCCACAATGGTAATTGAAAAATGGTCGTAAGTTATTTTTTCAGTGTTTTTGTAACTTTGAATGGTCACCAAACAAACTATTGTAAGTCGAGGACCACCTATACAGTGGGGGACTGGACTCTTTAGAGGAGAAGGTGTTAGAAGCCTTGAATTTCTGAGGTGGTGCCCTTTAAGTCATGTTCGTGTTGTAGATTCCCAACCAAAAATGTGAGATATCTGACTTCCCTTAAAAACACATCCATTCATGCTTCTAAGATGCAGTGGGGAACAATGTTCTTCCAGAATTCTGCTCTATTGATTCATTCTGTGGTCCAGAGGGCATTCCCTGCCTAGATTTTACACACAATTTATTCCAAAACAATAAAGCCTATCCTAGAATAATACTTATTTTAGGGCAAAACATATTCCAAATGAGTCACAAAAATAAAGTTTGCTGATTGTAAAGATTTGATTTGATATAAGGAATAAGAGAAGATTTAATGAATCCAGCATTTAAACCTCCCTATGGCAATTTTAAAAATCAGACATCTTTCAGAGTAATCATATAATGAACTGGTATAAAGCCAAGTCAGGGAAAAGTCAAGGTTTAATAATTATATCCCCAGGCTATGCCAAAACCTAGAAGTTATCACACTTGAGTGTGGAACCCCAAGGAAAAATGTTCTCTTTAGTGTTAGAAGTTTGAATTTCTACCCAACAAGAAGTTTGGCATATTATCCCTACATCTGTCAGATAGTTTTGGATCAACTGTATTGTGCTCAAATGTTAAGCCAGTATAACAGAAATTATAAAACAATTTCCTGAAATCTTTGATTCCATATAAGAAAAGAAATATCACAGTTGGCTTTGTGAATCTATCATACAATCCAAACTGATTTGAGCTGAAAAGGTTCCTTCCCGATCTCCAATTGTCTCTGATCATATGAGAACACACATATATAGATTTACATGTAGCTACTAGAAAGTGAACCACTTCAACAAAGTGGCAGAGAACCCAGGTAAAAATAAAATATGCAGTTTCTCCTCAAAGTTCCTTTTTCATCTTGAAATATGAATGAAAAAAAATCACCGCATGTCAATGAAGAGGGAGTACAGAGAAAACTTCTATGCTCTATATCAGGGGTGTCAAACTGCCAGCCCATGGGCCAGATGCATCATACCAAAACCGTGCTCACCCCATTGCCGGCAGTGGCAAAAAAATTCACGATATGTGACAACACGTCACGTGACGTTGCAAGTTTGACACCCTTGCTCTATATGAATGTTGCAGGTTCCTATGAGTCACCTAGAACTGAATATAAAAGCCCAATAAGCACAACATTATGGGAAAGATGATAGATATAGATAAATAATAAAACCAATTAAAATAAATAAAGAAAAGTAGCATATATAAGACAAAAGTATGTAATAGTGAAATTTATATTTAATAAGGAAAAAGAAATGTTAAAATATATTTCATATACAAAATCAAAAAATGACCCAATTGTTCAAATATTCTTTTTATTGAAAGGGAAGTGGGAGAGGAGAGGAAAATTGACAGATCATACTTAATCAGCGGTCCTCTTCTGTAGATTAGATATAGATTTAGTCTTCCAGTGTTATATAGTAATTTTGTGTGTGAAAAGTCCACAGTTCCTGATGTACTAATAAATTCTAAAAGTTGAGAATATAGAATGTAATATATCCTTTACTATGACCTTTACTAAGGTCATATTTAAAATCATGTGAATTTAAGGCCAGAGTATATACCGTAAATGCCGGCGTACAAGGCAACCCGGCGTATAAGACGACCCCCGTCTTTATAGCCAGGCCGCATTCCTAGAACGTCGTCTTATACGCCGGAAACTACCAGTATTTCCGGCGTATAAGACGACTCGGCGTATAAGACGACCCCCGTCTTTGGCGCCGATTTCAGCGCTCGCGGAAGTCACCTTATACGCCGGCATTTACGGTAATAGTCAAGCAGATCTGATGAATTAGTGTTTCAATTTCTAAATTGCCTGTCCTGATTGTGTCCCCTCCTTACTCAACATTTTCTGCAGTTTCTAATATACACTCAAATAGTTCAGTCCTCTTCTGCCTACTTTAGGATTAGGACTCAAAATTGTTTCTCACAAAACCCATGAGAACCATGGAACTTAAGAAGGAACAAAGGCACCAGGGCCAAAGAGCTTGAGCAAGTGCTTAAGTTGAATAAACTACCATTGAACAGACAGCCAAAAATTTGATAAACCAAATTAGTTTTAAAAACAGCTATCATAAGACATAAGTTGAAGTAAAATTGTAAGAGACCCAGTTTACCTTCCAAACAGATCTATTGACTGTTTTTAAATTGGAAGCACCCATTATTTCATGGTAAAAGTATCAATGTTATGTCTGCAACCTAAACTTTCCTGAATTTATTTTGTAGCATTAAATGTAAATATTGATACTGATCTTTGAAAAAAAAAGAATGTTTTAGTGGTAGCAGCATGTCTGCCTATATTAGTCATCTGTTCTATTGCTGTCTAATATATTTTACTTTTCTTTCTTTCTGGGAAAAGGAGATTTGAGATATCTGCTTAGAACTTTAAAGATTCAATGAAAAAGGCAAAGCCTTTAGTATGGCCGTGGGATGGTAAAACCAAAATCTGAGGTATTTCTTTCTTTTGTCATAGAGTCGTGGGGTGCTTCCCTATTTTGCCAACTTCCGTCTCCTTTCGGAATTCTCTACACCCTTTGTGAATTTGCGGTGAGTTTGGTGATATAAGAAACAAAATGGGTGAATTCAATAGCTTGCCCAAGAATGTGCACCAGTTTCTTGAAAAGGGGGCCCTTGTATCTATGTTCTAGGAATGGACAGCAATCACCTATACTCCTTCCCCATTAAAGCCACAGGGCTGAGCTCAACACCTCAACCCTGTTGCATGCTCATATCTAACTATTTTAGTTACCTGTTGTAATCCTGAGGGTGATTTTTATGCTGCTGCTCTTCTGGGGGAGGTGGAGAATCTGAATGGACTAACATCCATTTGATTTTTTTTTTTTAAATTTGTGTTGCCTCAGGTGGTTCCTGGATGCAGCTGGCTGGCCACGTACTTCAAGGCTTGTTTTGGCCAATGGCTTGGCAATGACTGTAGTGTTCTTTATGGTGCGCATTGCTGTCATCCCCAGCTATTATATGCAGGTGTACTCTTGGTACGGAACTCCTGAATATGAACGTTTGGGCCTGGGTGTACAACTGGCCTGGATTGGGCCAAGCATTGCCTTGGAAATGCTCAATTTGGTCTGGATGTACCGCATTGTCCGTGGCTTCTACCGAGCTTTATACCGGTCTAAGATCTACAAGGCAGCATGAAGAAAGAAAAGTGGTGATACTTGACCTGGAAGACCCATGTTCTGCTGGACAAAGATGGATTTCCTTTTCTAATCCCCTTAGAAGCCATTAGCCCTAGGAATTGCTCCTGACTATGTCCTTGGGGAAAGAATCCCAGAATCATTAAAAAGGGAGCATATAGTTTTCCATTCAGTCAAAGAAAGGTCTTGGCCAAATTGACTAGATTCAGCGATTTGCCATCTTCTAGAGATGAGGCTATAGATGCACTTCACAGGGCTGAAAACAGGCAGTTTTAAAATGGAGGTATATTTAGTCTAGGGATTCCTTTGGCACAAATGGGAATGCTTGGGAGACACAGTGGTCAACAGTTTCCTGGATTGGGGGACTCTGCTGATACTCCATAGGACTTTTGAATGAGACTTCACCACTGAACAGGTGGTGTTTCTAATAGATTCAGGAATTTAATCTCTTTCAGCTATCAGTCTGTCCAGGATGATGATCAGGTACCATTTCCTCCTTGGAAGAAAAGACTGGCTCTGGGGGAAGAAGAGATAGGAAATATATATATGAAAGTTATCTTTCCTTGATTGCCAGTTTGCTAGGGACTTTTGGGCCATGTTTAGTGGTAAAGTGGATGGAAAATAGTGGAGGGGTGAGGGAAGAAATAGTGCCCAGTTATGACTACAAACGGTGGGATTTCCCAGGACCCAGTGGCCGGATTTCAGGACCTTGGTTAGAAGGACAGCAGTACTGTAAATAGCATCCTTGTTTTACTAAATCAACTGAAACTTGGCATTCCATCGAAGAAACCTGCTGATACTATAGCGGTTACACTCCTAAAGACCAGAAAACAATAGTTTTAATAAGGCTAGCATCAAGGCACACTTGCCTTTGCTCAGTGGTTTGGATAAATCAAAACCATAGCGATATCTGTTGCCTCTGAATGTGCCAGGAATTTAACTCCCAAAATCCCTATCCACTATGGCTGTATTCCATTCTGGTGTCATTCCTTCTTGTGCTCGCTGTTCTTGTATATGACAATCACATCTTCCCAACAATAGTTTACAGTGAAAGTTTCTTCACTCCCAAATGTATGCCTCAGTGAATGCAGCCTTGTGGAAGGGTATAGGCACTACCACACTAGGCTGAACTTGTTTAATTTCATTGTTCTCAAGAGTCTAAACAAGTAGCTGGTGCAAGATTCCATTTCTTTTAAAACCATTGACAGAAGCTTCTTGTTTTCCCCTCAATGTTTCTATGTCTTTCTTCTGTTATAGTTGTTTTTCATCCTGATACATGCAAACACAGCTACCAGTACAGAGACAGGATATCATGATGTTGGCTTTGTATTAGAGCTGACAAAAGTGTAACAGTAAGATAAGGCAAATCTTAATAGAATTCATTTATGAATTTTGAAATCTGTGAATTCCAACAGATGTCAGGGTCAGAGGACTAATTGAAACTTAGATAGCATCAACACAAACCTAGAAGAACAACAGCATTGTAGAAAATTCCACAAACCTACTAATGCCTCATTTACTAATCTGGAATAGCACACCATGCTGATGTAGAAGGAGTATGCCTATGTGTTGCATGGCTAGCAATTGCTAATTTTTAAGAAAGAGTAAATCTATCTAAAGTCATCCTTAATAACAACAACATTTAAAGAAAATGTACATTATTCTATTGGCTGTGACTAATGGATTCAAGTCTTCCTACCTTTTTCTTTATTTAAAGTACATTAGTAAAATAGGAGGTGGCCATCTGTGAAAACCAGCTGTACTGTGATTGGTAGATAGTTTCCCACCAGCTGTCATTCAGAAAAGGGGAGGGCAGGAAGGCCAGAGGGTTTAATCCAGGGATATCAAACTGTTGGCCCGCGGGCTGGATGCATCATGCCAGCCACTCCATTGCAGGCAATAGGAAAAAAGTCACGATATATCATGACACATGATGTCGTGAGTTTGACACCCGTTTTTTAATCAATGGGTTTGCCTAACATGCTCTGCACACCTAGAATCAGGACACCATCATAGGGTGTCAATGCTATAGAGGCATCTATATAGGTCAACAGAAAACTTTATGGTTGCATCATTTTTGCCAGCTCAAGGATGAGTGGATAGTATTTTAACCAAAATATGAGGAAAGGCCCTAGATTCAGAGACCATGAGTTGCTTGCTTAACACATTGGTTTTAAAGTAGCACTTGAGAGATAAATTTGGCTTAATATATAGTGTGAACATAGTCAATGAGAGACTTCACACCCAAGGCATTCCAGAGAGAGGCTTGATTACAGAGCTCTAGAAGCATTTAATTCTGGTTGCATGAGATGCCTAGAACATGTTTGGCTTTGTTGAATGTAGTTTTTTCTCTGATTTTAGATTACTCAATACTTCATGCTCCTTCAGTACAGTATGTTGATTCTTTGTGATGAAAGCCTTTGACTATTCATTCTTAAAACTTCCTTATTTAGATACCAGATTAGAACTTCTTAGCCCTTGGGTTAAATCCAAGTATACAGTACCAGGCCTATTCTGTCTTCAGAATTAAAAGTCTCCAGGAGACTTGGTTCCACAAGATCCATTGACCTCCTAGTTGATTTCAAAGGAGAATTTTCAGATGGATTGGGCTCCACAGTTTTGAAAAACCAAAACTGACTCCAAGTGCTAAATGTCTTAACTTGGTAAACAAATGCAAGCACTCTAAGATTGTTTCTTAAATTTATAGTATTTAAAAGTATTTGGTGCTGGGAGAATGAGCTGTGATCTTTAAACAGAAGCTGAGCAGCTTTGTTCCTAAATATGTGCCTTAAAACAACTTTGCCAGACAGTTATCAACCTCAAATAGACTGCCTCATTTTGTTGCCTTCCAGTTGTATTAGACTGCAGTTCTCAGCAGCAGAGTTCCCAGCAGCATGAGAACCCCCTCCCTCCCTCCCTTGCTTGTAATTGTGGGAGCTATAGTCTCAACATGTTGGGAAGCTATCAAGTAGGGAAAATTGTCCTAAAAACTTGAAAAGGCCCTCTCAGTTTTTAGATTTCTGCAGCCATTATTCTATTCAGATGGGCTATACCTTGTATATAGCAGTGAAAAATTATTGATTTTTTCCCTGCAATTTTGAATAATTAAATTCTCACAATGCAGTGTTTGTAATTTTATAACTGGAATCAATGAGTGTTAATTTAAATAATATAAATAAATAGTATTAATTTATTAAACCCCTCTGTTTTGATCTTATGTGAGCATCTGTGAATTGTACTTTGTGGATGTTAAATTTCAGCCTGAGCTGCGGGTGTGGATATATTGATGAAAAAGTCTGCACCATATATGGATAGATGGAACTTAAAGGCCACATCCCACTGTGCTTTACTGAATTCCTTCTTAACATATGCCTAATGTAGTCTGTCAGGCATCTGCGTTGCAAAAATGAGAGGAAAGCTCATTCCAGGACAAAAGTGCTCCTGCTTTTACTACATTGTCTTCTATTTCCCCCCTCCCTTCCTTTATATATTACTATAGCTTTGGATTTGTGTTTCTATTAAGAGCTAAGTGTCTGTTGTGTAGTAAAATCACACAATGAACCCAGCCTGGCCTTCTGCCAAATGTGTTGCCTACAAGATCTTGGGGATATCTGTGAAACAATGAAACAGCTGGTGAGTGTTGTGAAGCAAAAAAAAAAAAAAAAAAAGGAACACGTTTCAATCCAAACAGACTCCAGACAAGATGTCCTCTGTGGTCAAGCAAGAGGAGAATAATATTCAAAGCTTAGTTTTCCCTTTCAAATATTTTATAAAATCAGGTGACCTTGGAATATATTTGTAATTATGGAGGGGTTTTGTCTATGTTTCCATTTGTTGTGTCACGTTATTCCCCTCCCCCATTTTGTTTCTGTGTGGTAAATTGTTTGTTTTTATTTTATGTAAGTCTGCTTGGAAATGAAGTACTATTTTTTTTTAAGTGAGCAAAGTGATTGCTTTTGGAACCAACTCCTGGCAACTTAAAGACAAGAAACAACCTTTGGGTTCAGTAGGTGTCCCATTCATAATTTTGGTGTAAAATTGCTATGAGACTTATTTTTTGCTGCAACAGTCTAGCATGACTACTGCTGTGGAAATCGGGAATCTCTGAGAAATCATACAGCAGCAATATGGGATCATTGCAGACAAAGACCTAACCTGGCTGAGGCTTGGACCGAGTTCATACATTTTCCTGCATCATGGTTAATTTAGTGAATAGGCCAGTTCACTAGATTGCATAGAATAGACATGTCAAACACAAGGCCCGAGGGCCAGATGCGGCCTGCAAAGTGGTTTCATGTGGCCCGCGAAGCCATCCTGGAAACAGTAAGAGAATGGCCCCCGCTACCTTGGCCCTGGCCTAGGCCGTCTGGGAGCCAATATACAATTTTGTGCTGGCCATTTATGCTGAAACACATTCAGTCTTAGCTCCACAAGGCTGTCTAGAAACAGCGAGGAACCAGCCCCTGCCGTGTCAGCCCTGCCCCCTGGTGCATGCTGGGTAGGTGTCACCTTTTGTGAGGAATGAAGAAATGGACCATGCCTTGGCGCTTGCCCACCCCCTTCTGCCAGAGACCCTCAGATCTGTCCCACTCCCTGCCCAGGCACCCACAGACACCCTTGACGCGAATGATGTAGAGCTGGCTATGCCCACCCAGTAGGCCACACCCACTCCATCCACACCCACCCAGTAGGCTGCACCCACTCTGGCCACACACACCCCAGGGCAACTGCAATGCTGATGCGGCCCTCAATGAAATTGAGTTTGACACCCCTGGCATAGAACAAGGATGGGCAGCCAGAGCCTTTGGGTATTATGACCCTCTGCTCCTCTTTTCTGGACCTTCCCTGGGCCCTCTCTGATTGCAGCTGTCAAAAATCAATGGTGTTGTTTTTGGCATTTTGAAGTAGGAAAGGGGAGTGCCTGTCAGGTGTCATGAAAAATAAGAGCCACTATTTTGATCTTTTTTTTTTTTTTACATATACCTACATGTTCCTGGTAGAAAATACATGAAAACTATGATGCAAATCCTTATTAAAGTTTGGTTGTTGTTGTTTTTTTAAACTGACTTTAAGCAGGAAAGTTAAGAAAAATCTGCCCAGTCTCCAGAAATTACTTGCTATTGCTGAATTACAGAAGTATTGCCCTGACCATCCACCACTGCTTAGTTTTGTACTAAGCCATTGGTTCATGCTTATGATTAGAGCAGAAGTAATCCTTACATATTTATATAATTAAATGCATTAGGTATAACCCTACACTGAAGGCTAGATTTTTGACTCTTGCTATTGTCTCTTCAGAATTCCAAACATATGAAAAGGGAAAACTGCTTCTTGAGATCACCTGAGTATCTTTAATTTCAGTCTAAAACTGCTTGATTTTTCAGAGAAAATAAAATACAGGTTTATGCAGATCAGAATATGATCGTCTCTGTGTGGTATTAGTGTACACATTTTCTGATTAGACCTTGGGACCAGAACACAACTTCATGAAATCCACTCTCTGTAGAACTGATAGGAGAATAATATTTTGGGAAACTGTATACAATCTGGGTTCCATGATGGACAATGGTTAAAAAGTGATTTTTTTAAAAAAAAAAGATTTTCTGTCCTCGTTGCAAGCAGTGGCAATTAAAATAATTCTTTATTAATTCTTTATTCAATTCTTTGTTAAATAATAGATAATGCTGGAAAGTTCTTGTAAACTTTATCAAACTACTTTTGCTTGTATATGGGCAAGCCAGGAATGCCTGTTACCTCTTTGGTTACCAATAAGTTTTCAGCTGAAATTCAAAATGCTGGTTTTTAATTTAGAAAGTCCAATATGGCAAAAGGCTTTTAGGTACTTTCTGGACTATTCACTTCACACAGAAGCGGCTCACATGAGTTTTAGGGCACATATCGACATCTTTTGATTATCAATCCTTGAGGTGAAAGAGGAGGGTAAGCACAGAAGCAGAGTGTTCCTCATTGTGATCCTTGTATTAGTCTCCCTTTTGATTAATCTGCTTTCTGGAGGGCCTGGGGGAGTAAAGTGGCTATGCTTCCTTGCATTCTGTCTCTGTATTGGATTATTCTGAAATGTTGGTAATGTTTTATATTTTTATTATACAAATTGCCAGGAGTTGCTTTTGAATTTGGCAATATAGAAATTTAATAGAATAAACACACACACACACACAAACACAAACACAAAATTAAATACCTTGTCCAATAAATAGAAGGGCAATGGCATTACTACTGATTTATTTTGGCCACATTCTCTAGCCCCATTTACCTAACAGCTGATGCATTTGGCATGTCTATTATCCAGGTTTTCTCTCTTCGAATGGTGCGTCATCATATGTACATTCATTTGGTACATTCATTTCAATGTGATGGAACAGAATAGTCATACCATGGATTCTCTTTCTGCAAGGGAAATCCCCAAGTGCTGAGACCTCAGTCCTCTTCTCCTCTCTGCCCAAACTGCAAATGCTCCAAGCTTAGCAGCACTAGAAGGGATGCAGCAGCAGTAGTGATCCAGTAGCGATTTTGCTTTCTTGGTAGGAAGCAATGCACACACACACACATACACACACACACACACACACACACACACACACACACAGGGGGCTATGTTTACCAAGTGAATAGGCAGTGACATCAGCCCATCTACCAAGGTTCTATAAATGGAAATGCTTATTGTTAGAGAGACACGTGTTGGGGGGGAGAGGAAAGCTCTGATTCAGCCTTCATGCATCCCAGCCTCACATCATCAGCAAAATTTAAATAAGCTTTGAAAGCTACTGCAGTTAATTGTGTGGTTGCCATTTCTTTCTAATGTCTCTGTCTAACAAAAGTCTTCTAACAGGAGATGGAACATGAGCTCTCCCCAAAGTAAAGTGTTCACGGTGTGAGTTACTGAAGAAGAAAGACATGTTTCCTTTTCTGTACCATTTTTGAACCTGGTATTAAATCCATTGGAGAGCTCAAAGATTTGTTAGTCCCAATTCAGCCAAAGTTGAAAGGAAGAAAGAAAAGTTATGCAAAAATATTTGGTGTCTAAAAGGATCTCTTTTTCAGTGCAGTTGTGGAGTTTTTTGGCATTTAATTGTTTTAATTACTATCACGGAATGTAGTTATTTGTTTCATATTACTTTTATTCCTCAAATTTAATTCCTGATGGTGCAATTTAATTTTTTATTTGTACAATTTTATTAATTGTGTCTTTATTGTGATTGTATTTTATAGTGTACAGTACTTTGAGACTTTATTAGATAAGGCATTAAGATTGATGGAATACATGACACTGATTTCAAGAGAATCGAGTTGTGGAAAGATCACCATTTTACAACTTTTCTCATTCATATTCTATTTTCCTGTGGTGCAGTACTCTTATGAAAATTTTCCTATGTAGTAAGTTATCACAGCTTCAAAATTATTGCCTCAGTGAATTTTATACTTTAAAAATGACTATGTGAAGTGGCAATTATTCTTGGGGGCCTTTCCTCCTAAAACCTCTGTTAGGATTTATCTCAGAAATGTCCAATTCATGATATGTGGAACTTATGCATTCATCTCCTCTTCTTCTAAAGAGTTTATTGACTCCAAACTTTTTCCCAGCCCTGCTGGTCAAGTGGCAACCAAAGAATGTGAACATTTCACCCCATGCAGGCCAAGAGGGCCTGTAATTCATTAGTATAAATTTATTAGCATAATTCACTCTCACACTGTACTGAGGACTGACTAACAGCTCCAGTGTATAGTATCTGTCTTTGTATGCTAGTGGAAAGAAATACATCTTAGATAAACTGTCACAAATATTAGTTTTCGGTTATTTGCAGTCCTTGATAAAATGATTTTGCTTGTCCCTGAGTTAGATCAAACTCTTGCATAAATAAAAGTATTTCAGTAACTATTAACAGTGGAGCAGCCCAATCCTAGTCTTTCTAGCTTTAACCCTGTTAGTTCAAGTGGGCTGCTTGTCTTATGTTTTTCATGTCATGCTTTTTTTATTGAAAAACACCAAGTTTTCAACTTGATGTAGCTCCATTCTCCATTCTTTCTATCTCCTGTTCTTACAGCAATAAACAGTACATTTCTATTTCAGACAATCCGAGGAAGGAGAAAGAAACTGGAATTGCTGTTTCACAAGATGGACAACAGTGCCAGGGCCAAAAATACAGGTAGTCCTCGACTTACAATAGTTCATTTAAGTGACCGTTCAAAGTTACAATG